TAACGACACTCTTCTGTCATGAAAACATTTACATTTAATTTATTGAATCGTACGCGCGCTTGAATGACAGATGTAAAAGATGTATATTGGTATCTTTTCGCTTAAGTTTCAGAACACTTTGAACACAGATACAGAATATTACATACTTCCTACACAAGTTTAATGTACATTAATCGGTATTTGTATTTCATTGCTTTAGTTCAGTTTTGGAATCATTAATTCTTAAAATTTCAGTAGGATACCATAATTTATTTTTACCATTCTTTGAATTCTTAAAATAGGCAGATGTTATATATATAATTTTAATCTTAATCGTTATAAGTTTTAACTCCAACATCCACTTCTGATGCTTTTTAGTCCAAAGGGATTTGAATCCCGAAGGACTATTAGTTTCGTTTTGGCATTTTGCGTCGGACTCATAAATGTCGGTTCACTTTTCAAACTGTTGCCACAAAATGTTAGAGTCCTGCATTATATTTGAAGAAATTAAATAATGAAAAATCTGCATAAACGTATGTATATTTTCTCGTATTGTGATTAAAACAACGGTACATAGAGTCATCGAATTTTGAAAAACGTAATCCCAACGAATATGAGCATGTGGAAGACCAAATTTGAAATTTGAAATTTGTTTTATGATCGATTTTCTAATTTTTAAAACTTTGACGAATTTTTGATTAACAAACTCAAGGATTTCAAAGCGAGCAATGGCAACGTTGTGCAGAAAAAACATTTTTATCTTTAGCGCGTGAGTCTCTGTATCGGAAATTCTAGATATGCTCGTTTTAAAACTATTTTGCGATATTGCTGTTGCACTGGATCTTATGGTTTAAGTGCGAGGAACATGATATTTAATAAAGAAAGGTAACACACAAAATGTTAAAAAAACGCCCCTTTGGACGTAATTTAAAATCTGAAACATTTCAGTTTTTTTTTTTTTTTTTTTTTTTTTGCTATCATATAATTACTGCTATATGTTCGTTTAGTAAAATATAGCTAATCAGTAAATCTGTATTGTTTATCCTCGTGCAATTAAGCTATTACGCTTCAGCTACGCAATAACTTTCATATCTCAGAAAAGTATTTTATTTCTCTTATAATTAAAACAATTTAATAGAAACTTGCAATTATCTGTAAAGAAATACTTCCATGATCGTTGCCTTTATCACATCTGTAATGCTCATTGCGGAGTCAGAATAAGACAAAATAAAATTATTAAGCTCTGTCAGAGTTATTTATAGTATTAGGTAGATGAGAGTGTCTTAAATATTTGGAAATATCCATATTATATAATGCACGCAAAACGATTTGATGAAATAATGATTTAAATAAGTTAATTTTCTTGTTTGATCAATTAAATAACACAAGCAATATTCCAAGTTATTTACAGTGAAAATAGTGTATGTCTGCAAATGAATAATATTTATATTGCTTAGAATTAAGAAAACATTGTAAATGTTTAAATTTAATTAGGTATATTTTTTTCAGAATAAACAGATAATTCTTTCCATATAGTAAACGATTAAAATTAGCAGTAAGACATTGTATCATTGGTAATTGCAATTTTTATGCATAATACTTTAGATTTTAATTTTCTTTATTTTTGTTAGTAAATTTTAGGAAAACCACATTAATAGGAATAAAATAAGTAATTACTAATAGTTAAAATTGTACGTACTCTCCTCTTTTATTGGGTTTCCTAAGACGAGAGAAGGCTTCGTCAGTTACCCACCTGTTTACGTTCCGCATGTTGTCGAAATAACTTTCATTGCCTATAGTTAACTGAAAAACAAATTAAATTGTAATGGTATAATTTCCTTAAAAATCTCTTGATTTTGTAGATGGTACCGGCAAATTATGAAACACGAAATTCTGTAGAATACCTAGGCCTTTTATAGAACGCCTGGCGATTTTAAGCAAAGCATGAAATATGAGAATTATATACTTTACCTAAACATTATATATAACGCATAGGCGTTCTGTAGCATGGCAAATGCTCTTTAGGCAAAGTATAAAAAAAAGGTTATTACAAAGCTATTACTTAAAACATGTTCATTCTTTTAAAATACAGAAGTTGTTTTGAAAAAATAATGAAAGAGTGCCATTAAAAATTGTTATTTAAAATACATAAAGAAAAAAAAATTATACAAAAGACCAAATCTGAAAGGTTTCAGATTTTTTAAATTATGTCCAAAGGGGCGTTTTTTTTTAACATTTTTGTGTGTTACCTTTATTTATTAAATATCATGTTCTTCCCACTTAAACCATAAAATTCAGTTCAAGAGCAATATCGCAAAATGATTTTAAATTGAGCATATCTTTAAAATTTCCGACGCACAGTCTCACGCGGAGACAAAAAAAAATTTCTGTACAATGTTGCCATTGCTTTGAGTTTGTTAACCAAAATTCGTTAAAGTTTTACAAAATACGAAACCGATAATAAAACAAATTCCAAATTTCAAATTTGGGCTTCCAGATGCCCACATTTGCGGACATTCAAAATTTGATGGCTCCATGTACCGTTGTTTTATCATAATGCAAGAAACATACATACATTTATGCAGATTCTTCGTTATTCAATTGCATCAGTTTGAAAAGTGAAACGGACTTACAGAATGATTCGATGCAAAATCGCCAAAACGAAAACAATAGTCCCTCAAGGACAAACCCCCTTGGACTAAAAATAAAAGTTGTACTAAACAAAATGTATACCTTTCTTATCAAACAAAACAAAATTTGATGGCTCTAGGTACCGTTGTTTTATCACAATGCAAGAAACATACATACATTTATGCAGATTCTTCGTTATTCAATTTCTTCAAATATAATACAGAAGGGCTGTAATATTTCGGTTGCATCAGTTTGAAAAGTGAAACGGACTTTCAGAATGATTCGATGCAAAATCGCCAAAACGAAATCAATAGTCCCTCAAGGACAAACCCCCTTGGACTAAAAATGAAAGTTGTACTAAACAAAATGTATACCTTTCTTATTAAAGAAAACAAATTTTCATATAAAAATAAGAAATTAAAATTAACCTATTTTTGCTTGAAAACATGATAGGCCTGAATGACATTTTGAATTCACTTTATTACTTTTTTCGCACAAAATATTTCATATTTCGGCACTTTTTTTGTCCTTATGCTTGACGAATCCTTGGCCACTTCCATTGGACTTAGCAATTGGCCAGAGAGGAATTTCGTGGTCAGGAATATCTTCATTTCTAAGTAAGTTTTCAGAACATAAAATGAACTGCGATCCCGTATGAAGTTGATTTAAAATTCTTACAGAAGTTCAAAGTCGGTAGAAACTATCCTGTGTCACACTCACTACAACTGTACTTGTCCTAGGTACTGTATATAAAAGGAGATGTATTTGAAATTTTACCGGTTTGTCATTAGACACTGTGTGATACCTTTAATCGTTTCGTGCATTGCCAACCAGTCCTCGGCATTCTATAAAACACCTAGGGGTTCTATTGAATGTCGGATTTCATGCTTTGTCGATAACGAAGACAAAATTTATTTTTAAAAATTCAGTAATAATCTTTAAATACTCACATTTTTATAATACTCGGAGACAATAGAATCATTCATAAGTTCTTTGGGATATCCAACAAATGCCATTATAGCATTAGCCTGCAAAATACGAAAAACATAATATCTGAATTGTTTCTTCTGAATTTTTCTTTCTTTATAATTCAGTTTCTGAATTGTTTTTCTTCAGTTACAGCAGCGAATTGATAATTTTTAAATGTAGTTAATGGCTGTATATTGAAAATATATACAAGTTGTAAAGTCATTAGAGGAAAAAGCAGAGGATTTGAAAAATGTGAATGCCCTCTCCCGGGACTCGAAGCTGGTCGTCTCGAATACGCGCCCAGTGTGCTAACTGTTAAAAAAGGCGACTGGGAATTAGGGGATCAAAGTCCTATGTTGAAATGGCGTATGTTGCAATGAGAGACGTGGTTGCATGAGGGTCTGGGAGATTATTTTTAGTGGCTGTGCATGATAGAAGTAAGGAAACGATGATGCAGTGTATTAAAGAGTGGATTGAGCCTTGTACAGCTATTTTTTCCTGATGGCTGCAAATCTTACAAGGATTTAGAAAAAGAAGGTTTTGAACATTTATTTGTGAACCAGTACACATCGAGTGTGAGTTCTCCGGATAGTGTGTCTGGCTATCATATAAATACGATAGTGATTACGTGGCGGCATGTTAAAGGCGGTATGAAATTGGTATTTCTTTCTGCTGTTCTAAAAAGCATTCATTCATGTAAGTGCATTTTATTTTATTCTTTTCTTATTTTGTACAATTCTATGTTCATTGTTTTTAGTACGAATTTCTGATTTCTGTCGTTATTATTGTTTTTTTGAATTGTTTGAAATTTATTTTAGTTATTTTAGTTTATTTTGTTGATTAGTGCGTAGTGCCTAGATTGTGGAATTCGTAGATGTTTTTTGAAGTTGAAACAGAACGCTGTGTACATGGTATTCTTTGAAATTTATAGTTCTTATGTTCATTTATTAAAGCGAGGTGTGCGTAGTTCGTAGATTGTTTCGCTGCCTAAATTGTGGAATTCGTAGATTTTTTTAACTTATCGCTGTTTACATGGAAAGTTAAAACTTATCGCTGTTTACATGGATTCTTGTCAAATATTTTTGGTTAGAAACTTTACGTTTTTTTGATATCTAAATTTTTTGTTTTAATTTCGGATTTTTAGCTTAATTTTGTGTGTTCAAAACGTGGTTTTTGCATGTGCGAAAACCGTTTTTTGGAACATTTTAGGCTTGAACAATTAGAATGAATTTTAATTTACAGAATTTTACTATTTTCGGTTATTTGGTAAAGTACACTAGGTTGGAGTGGAGATATAAAGAGTTCGTATTTCCTCCTAAAATTAAAGCGATGAACTAGATTGATGTGTGTAGATGGAATACTATTCCCTTAAAAGTAATTCATTTGATTTTTAAAGGCTAAAAATGCGCATTTGAAAATATCAAATGTCCAGCTGCTTTCACATTATTCATATTAAGTTTCTTATAGCCAAATGAAATCTAGATACTCTGATATAATCAGTGTAATATTTAACAGTGGTCCGTAAGTTCCTACCCATTCATATACTCTCTTCATTCATTAATGGGATTAAACCGGCCATTATCTTCAAAAGGACAAATACGCTCTTTAGTCGTAAAGGGCTTAAATCGGCCATAATGTGGAAAATAAAATAAACTAAATTTATAATACATGCAGGCAAAATGATTGAAGAAATAATGTAGCATATCATAATAACATATGAATGCGAAACCGTGCTGTGTTGAGAAAATTTTTCATAAAACATGGCGCCACCTCCTGCCCAGACAGGAAAGTGGTCAATGACTCTGATTGTTGTACCGAAGGGCACCAGATTCGAATCCTGGAGGAGGCATGAATTTAGTTTGTCCGTGCTTTCATAAGAGGCAACGGTGGCCTGCCTATTAGGTGCCTGACCAGATAAGCATTGAGTGCTTTGTCATATTAAAGGGACCACTGCTTTCGGCCTTAGTAGTCGCCAATGGCTATAAATGGCTACAACCTGACATTGGAGGGGAAAATGGCGTCACTTAATATTATAAGTAGAAATGAAGAACAATACGCAAATTCACTGGATAAATAAGGTACATGAATAAGTAGAGATGAGTGGACCGACCTGTGCATGAAATAAGTAAACAGATATACTTCAGATAAAAAATTAAACTTTTGAAACTTAGTGAAGGTACCCGTTTCACATTTACGATTGTTATTGTAACTAGCTTCTCAACGTTACAATTTCATTATAACTGAAAACATTTTTCGTGACAGTGTTTTTCGTTACCAGAAAATTTAGTGCAATAAAGAGTTACTTCTGTATTGTGAAATACAAATAATATAAGCAAAAGAAGAAAATATAATAAAACCTTTTCTATAGCTTGCGTTTTAGTGTCTTCGTCCAACCACTCATTCCTTTCCAGCATATTTAAGTATTCTTTACGTATATAATGAATCATCTCTACAGCCTGAAAGAAATGAAATGGTACTTCTTCACGCAAAGTTACGTAAAAGATGGATATAACTTGTTACCATAAGAGGCAACGTGTGCCTCTTACGGTAACAATATATTTTTTTTAATTGCGGAAATACCTGAATGGTTATTGATGGCGAACTCTTTCAGTGAAGGAGAACCCTATACTGATACAAGTGATACATCATTTGAAATTTATAATCAGTTGCAGTTATAACCAACTGCAATTTATGCAGTTAACTTTAAAAAATCGTTGTTTTGTTTGCAAGGTGAAGAGATATTTTTCCAGTGCAGAACGAGCATTTGTGCATTTTGTGAAATTTAAGGGTTTAGGTTTTTTACTCATGGTTAGTTTTAGGTTAATTTCTTTGGTTTATGCCTTGCTTTGTCATGACCTCTCATATCGGACGTTTATGCAAATTGTATGCCAAATGGCATAGGTTAAATCTAGGTGTAATCGTAGCGGATATTCTGAGTAGAACTTTTCCTACTGTAATGCTACTTGCTCAACGAGCCACCCATCAGACAAAGAGGCTTGAGCGTCAATGCACCCACCAGCGGCCGAGCGGTAAAGACGCTGAACACTGGTAGTTCGGTCCGAGGTTCGAATTCCGCGAACGGGCTGGCTGCATGGGCGTTGTCGTGGTTTTGCCCATGTTTAACGTGTATACGAGCTAGTTTCCCTTAGAAAAACCTCCACGAAGGCATTCCTCCCCTTAGGCAGATAGCCTTCGAGGCTTTCGCCATAATCACACACGCACAGCTTGAGCGTCAACATTAGTCGAGTTCGATAAATGTAAATATTATTTTTCTGTCTGATGAAGCGTTTTGTAATTTCAGATAGTAATTCTTGGTACTGTAAACCAGACTCATAGCGTCTAAGGAACGAGATGCTGCATCGACTGGGAAATAAAATGTCTAAATATTTGTTTTGAACTTTTTTCAATTCCTCGATCAGTGGGGGAAATTGATTTAAATTTTGCCTTTTAAGGTAAACATTAGAAAAAGGTCATACTTCGCCAACCATAATTATTAACTTCTAAAGTTTAGCCGTCAGGATACGTTACAAATATTTTTAATTAAGTAGACACTTCTAAAACATATAACACTTGAAAAGTTTTTAAAAGACGTTTTCACTGAAAACATTTCTAACCTCAAAAACACGCACAATTAAAAAAAAAAAATAACTTATATGATTATTAATAATATAAGAAAGCTTTACGCATATTGCAAGAGACATAATAAGATTTAATTTTAAAATTCTAAGGGTGTGAGCGCTATGTTTTGCCCAGTATAGTTGCAAAATAACTTAACTTCATTTAAGTATGAAGATTATCACCAGTTGTTTTCTAAATTTAAAGAAAATTTGTTTTTGGTCTTTTGCTTTATATGATTATTTTCAAGAATTTTATATTTTATTAGTGTTCCTATAAAAAGACTTTGTTAGGGACACACAAACTGACTTATGTTTTTTTCACCATCCCGCCTTCTAAACTGTGACTTATGCTGAAATATTGTGTCTTTTAAAATTACAAGTGTTTCTTAAAAAGTGTGTTTATTCCAGAACTTTGTACAGTGTGAACTGTTTGTGAATACTGTTAATTTATATGACATTTCTCGTACGAGAACTCTTGAAATTCACCAGAAATATGTTACTGTTGACTTATTCCTCATTTGAGCCACTCCCACCAGTATAATTACGATCCATTTCATTCTGAACCTGTTTCAAAAGCATACTTAAGTTAAATTACTTAATGTTTACTTTTTCAAATGCTTTATTAAGCAAACTTTTCAGCTAGTTATATCTTTTGCCACAGCTCGAACAGCTCCCAGATGCTTTTTCACTCTACATACCTTTGTATTTGCTTCAGCTTCGCTCTAGTAGGCGCGGCGTTACACACCCATTTTTTCAATTATATATACAAACGCCTAAGGGCATTTCTTTCAAAAGCGGTGGTTAAAGCAGCAGAGGCTGCTAATTGCCTCCTAACCATTCAAAAGACAAAAGACAAATAATGAGGCATTTCAGCGGTTTAAGGAACTTCCTTAAACTATTATTCATTTATTTTATTTAATCATGATTATTATTCAATGTTTTAGTGTATTTGTAAACATTTTAGTACCAAAGTTTGAACGTGAACGTTCCCTATCAGCCAAATCGCTTCAATCCTAAAAATGAGTTTACCAGATTATTTCTCCGTTTACGCAAATTATGAAAATGAAATCTTTCCCATCATCAGGTTCACGTCACGTGACCAAGAAATCTCAAATTTTAATATTCTGCATATCTAAAACCCTGTGTAAATAGTGTATAGTTACCGTGAAAGACCGAAAATTGAGAATGTCGACTTTCACCGGAGAATGTCAACATTCACCAAATACGTCGATGAAAGATCGAATATTTCTTTACATTCTTGTACATTCGGACTCTCACCGGTGTATGTCGACAATCACAGATATGCTCTGGTGTAGGTCAAAAAGAGAGGAGTATATGTACACGCTGCCATTCCAAAAGGAAGTGTTCCACAAATAAATGCAGTTGTAAAAGCAAGGGCCTCTTGTGCAATTCAAAGTGTCATAATAGTTTAAGTTGTTGCAATAAATAAGATTTGAATCACATAATTTGGTAAGTTTATAACTTCTATTATTTTCCTTTCTCATTTTGAATGTACTGTTTCTTTTAAGTTCTTATATTCTTAAGTTCTTATTTTGAGTCTGAAGTGCTTTTTTTCGCGAATGAATTACGGAGAATGAAATATAATATTCTTATATGTTCAACATTCACCATTAGTACATGGTGAATGTCGACATTCACCGGTGTAAGTCAGAAATAAGAGTATTTGGAAAATATTTCGGACATACACCAAGCGACTACGTGAATGTTGACATTCACCGATGAAAGTCGACATTCTCCAGATTTCGGTGTTTCACCGTAACATATATATGATTTAGAGACTCAATTTCAAGACTTTAAGAACGCTGTGCTTAATTCACTCGCTGATAATAACTTTGTGAATTTACTAACTTAGTTTTAAACTCTTGACTTTGCCAAAACAGCAGCGTCACTTCCGGGAGTAAGTTGCGATTGCATCGTAATTCAAAGAGTTCCCGTGATTGGCCTTAGAGCAATAAACTAAATCGACTAGTGAAAACTCATAGTAGTTGTGGCTAATAGCAAAGTCATGATCCGTCGTCCGTGATGAAGCATTTTATATTTAATCTTTTGTAATAGGATAGCTCGATTATGATCATGGATCAGTGGTTTCTAACTTTTTTCTGCCCTATGCATCTCTTTCATAATTGCTAGACGAGAATTACCAATCACCTTTTTTCTGAATTCGAAAAAGCATGTACATTTATTTAAATCTAAATTGTTCTTAATGGTTTTTAAAAATTAAACAAGAAAAGTACAGAAAATGTTGATAAAACCCAAAACTAGAATAAAAGTATTTTTTCATATTCGTAAACTAAATATACTTTGTAGGGTTTATATTTATTTTAACTAACATTTATTTTAAGTTTAAACTATCTTTCCTGTCAAGCCTTACTTTCCCCTGGAATTGCCAATGCCAGAGTATGTAAATTTTAGTAGAACGCGCAAGGATTCAAATTGTCAGCGGATTCAAATTGTCTGAGTTAAATAGAAGTTCGAAAGTGTGCTTTCTTGCTTCACGAGCGTGGAGGTGGCTAGTTAGAAATTGAAGAACCACGCGTTTCGGCCTGTGTGCTTGCCTCAGTAGATAGTTAAATCTTTCAACGTAATATTCAGAAGTTTGCTGAATTGTCAGCGGTATCTTAGAACGCGGTTAGGTTAGTTACGTTTAGAGAGACTCGTTCTTAGTCATTTGTTGTTATTCCTTTTTGAGTTTCTTATTTTTATTTTACCGCCGGGTCGGCGTAGTTTGTGAGCGTCAAGAGCACGCATCTGTAATTTCTAAAGTTGAATAAAAAGGGATTTAAACCCTTCTCAAGACTTTGTATACTTTCCAGTTCATAGCAGTCACCACTATTGTTGCGTGCAGGTTGGGAGCGCGCGACATTACAACTTAACAGTTAAATAAAATCTGATCACATTCCTTCCTGAAACTATGAAATCCCCTCTAGAGTAGAATTTCGCTTGGTTTAGAACCCCTGCATTACATAAATTAACAGCTAACGAGCATTATTAACATTTACAGATTCTACAAGTCAATCCAAATGCACAGATTATAATGTATAATTCCTGTTACTGATAGTAGGTAGTCCTGGGTACTGAAAAGGCAGAATTTTGTCACTTACGCTATCTGTGTTTTCCTCATTAAAGTAATGTCGTACATATTGGTAGCCAAGAGCCAGTCCTAAATTCCAAAAGAAGGAATAGAGACAAGTATCCCAGCGAGGGTCTTGTTTTGTTTTTCCCGAGATGACTGAATGAAACTCCTCGAGCAGATTCCTCCAGTCTTCCGATAGTCTAGGCATAGATTCGTGAACAACCCTCCATATCATGTAGTTAGCCACAACCCTAAAGAGATAAGTACTAACTACCGTATTATAGAAAATTACCATGTAATAAAACATTTTATTCTTATTGAGTAAATGAAAAAAAAAAATACTCAAAAATTCCTCTGAAAGCATTCAGGAATTATTTTGAAAGATTTCTTGAAATTACGTTGGGAGAAGTTTGCTTTCGGCCTATAAGAACTCAAGAAGAAGAATATACTTCGTTTTGAGGATTAAGTACAAGGAGTCAAAAAAAAGGAATACCTTTTATTAGCTCTTTAGTTGGAGATCGAAAAATTTGAGCAAGCACTGCTTTCGCATGAAATGATTTAAATATTGGCACTATGAATTTTTAATTTAAATCTTCATTCGTTTTGGTAAATATATAGGTGAAAACACAACTGAAAGGACATGACATTCGTGAGACTTTCGTGAGATTCCTGAGATTTCTTACCTACCGTTAAGTAACACATATCAGCACAGAACCACCCCACCTAACATTTTCGTGTTGGAAAATAAATTCAGGTAGGCAATATTTTAACTCTTTTTATTTATATATTAATATTTATAAATTAACATCATTAACACGTTAGATATCGATAATAACAAATATAATCTACCTTGTAAGAAACTTTTGAGTAACAAAGCAATTTTTAATTAATAGCAATAACACAGCCAACTGAAAATGTTAATTCCCGAATGAGCTACTGAACACGTATAGTCTGTTACAATTGTAAGTTTAGTTGTTAAGATAGCAGTACCTTAACAACTAAACTTACAATTGTAACAGAACTATTTGGACTCAGCTCAGCTATTTTATCGAACGCCATCTAGTGGCGACGAGAACAACTAACAGCTGGTGGACCACCAAATGCGATGAGGATAAGTTCTCCGTTATTATGTCTCCGTAACTCTAACATTCGTTTAAAATGTTAATTCTAAATGTTAGGTGTTCCGTTTTAGTGTATGTTAAAATTCTGATATATATTTTGTTTGTAACTGTTCCTGTGATGCGTTAGTAAATACTTTTAGAGATAGAAGGCGTTTGTGTTTATAGAAAAACGGTTACAAAATTTAAATCTGAAGTGCCATTTGCGAAATGGCTTTAACTCACAAATTAAAGAAAATCTTCTTTTTGTGTTTCCAAAATATTAAAAATAAAACATGTTTGTTATTTTCTTGATAGCCCAAATTACAGCAATGCCTTATTTTCCCCTTTAATATTTTTCTTTTCCATTTAAGCAGCTTAAATCATATCAATGAAAGAAAAAATTCGAATATTCTGCCTCAATTTTAATCCACCGTACATTACGTCTAACGAAATCAGTTTGAAATTGCTATGTGCACAAAACAAAGAACACGTGATGTTTTCCTTACCTCTTCTCCGTTTTATTTATAAAATCCGCGAATCTGCTGACAAAATCTGGATTTTGATAAACTAAGGTTTCATTTTCATCGATTTCGTCATTCAGTAATCCATTGAAGTACCTCAGCCAGTCAATCTATCGAGAAATGCAAGAGAGCTTATTTGAATCTTCTTCTGTGAGATTTAATCAATATATTAATATTTATTTTTCTTTAATTAGCAGTCAAACTTGGTTTTTATGTGATCTGAAGCCTCTTCGTAAAATAAAAAGCTTTTCAAGTTTAATTAGAAACTAAACTCGATTTTTATATGACCTGAGGACTTTTCCCAAAATGACATGAAAAAACGTAAAATTTAAACAAAATATTCAAATACAATAGTAATAAATTTAATATCCATCCAAGGGTAGAATATGATAAACTGTAAATTTTTTTCACTGAAGCTTCCAGCAAAATTTTGTTTGTCTCCTTTGTTAACAAAACTAATGAGCAGTGTTTTTTCCCCTGCATTACTATATTATAACATTCTTATTTTATGAAATCTAGAGCTGTCTTTACTTTGATTCAGAGGAGCATGGTTTATATTTTAAATGTTTAGTTCTGTTAATGAAATTATTAGAAGTCTTAATTGAAAGTCTCAGCAGACAAAGCAATATATTTAACATGAAGAATGAAATTTACATGTAACACGTACAATACAATTATCAACTTTCTATAGAAAAATGGTTGAAAAACCATAGATTTGTATCTAAAATGTGTAGGTAAAATGGGTATTAGCATCGATGATTACTAATTTAAGTTCTTCAAATAAAACCTTAGCAAGCGCATAATAAAATAAGCTTTTAATAAAAACAGGTAAGCATCAATTTACGTATACACTTTATATGCAATAGCAATGATAAAAGAAGCGAATAAGCGATTAAAAATTATAAGAATTTAAATGAAAATGCATAAGAATTTAAGTTGAAGGTGTCTGTTTAATAGCAATACATTTTGCATTTTCTTTATGACTTTTAACTCTTGTAGACATATTTATTCACCAGCAAATGAACGATAAAATCACCGAACATTGATAGTTCTGTTTGAGTGAAATCTCGGCAAACAGGTTGGTTGGATTACACTTTTCTTACTCTCAACGAAAACATCCCTCCCAACAAGGCAAAATAGCTTTGCCATAAAATAAATAATTTTAATCCACCACATATTTTCCTAAGTGGCACGTATTTAACTGCGGAGAGGGCACGCAATGAGATACATTCCGAGGACATCAGAGATCCCGTGAGTTATGCGTAGCTAATGTAAACAAACAATACAGATGGCCTCATAGATCATGATTTAGCTAAGTAAACAACAGGCATTCTTTCTTCTTCTCTTGCGGAATGTATCTCATTTCATATTATGCGCTATTTGTTGTGTTTTACATAGTATGATGGCTGTGGTGATAAGCTGGAATAATTTATCTCTTTTGTAAATTTTCTCCACACGCTTACACGTGACTATGGTTCCACATTTTTATCTGATCCAAATTCGAGTTTGAATAAGAACACAGAAGTGTATGGGTTCACCAGCAACCGAGCAATAAAATCTGAATACGGGCAGTTTAACGGGAGCGATTCCATACGAACCTACTATACGCATGGGCTTTTTTCGTAGTTTTACCATTGTTTAACGTGGATACGATTCCGTTTCTCCAGGAAGACATCTCATCTTTTAGACAGATAGCCGTAGTGTATTTTGCCATAATGAAGTTAATCAAACCCAGAAGTTTGTATATGCGGTAGCAAATCATTCTGCGTATGCAAGCTTAGCGTTGTAGTCAATCATCTTGTTTATGCAAGCTTTACGTTGCAGCCATATGGTCTTCGGCTGCCTGTCTGAGGGTTTCCTGTCGTCTTTCTATCACTGTTCTATCACTGTCTTTCTATCACTAGTACTCTGTGTTTTTGTTTCAAGTATTTTTCTGTCAGTTCTGAATATTTAATTACCTGGAGTTATCCACTTTGTAGCTGGAGCCAATCATAGGATAGGTAATGTAGAGATTTGCATGTCGTTGTAGGAAACGTTTCTGAAGATATTCAAAGGAAGGAAAGGAGAGCGTTATATCTACATGCTTAAAACTAATGCATATCTATGATGACTTCTAGTTTTCATAGAAGTTTTGAATTTAAACTAACTAAATTATTTTATTATTTATTAATCTTACCTGTGGTACCTCATCCATAAGCTTCTTAACGGTATACGGAACGGTGTTGCTCCCCGCATTATTTGTATGGTCTGTTTCATTCGATGGTAAAGAAAACTGCGAGAGAGGTGAGGAAAACGAATCAATATAAAATTAAATATCATATTATTTACTCATAAATAAGCAACTTAAAAAGGTACTTAACAGTACTGTTATCCGCAATACTCGTATTCTGACTTTTTTCCAATGGAGAAGAGAACTGTAGGAGGAAAAATAAATCACTTAAATGCAAATTTTTAGCAAAAAAGTATGAAATTAGACACCACATAAAACACAAATTTTTATCGAGTCAGATATGAACAAATGAAACGATGAAAGCGCTAAAGAGTCTTAAACCTCAAATTGCCTTGATTATTAACAAAGGTAAATTTAAGGTATATATATATATCGGTGATGTTAATTTCCTACTTAATTTATAAATTCCTATAGTTAACATCGATTGGAATTTTTTGCGACATTCAATGATAAATTTTCGTTTTTCTGAAAACTAAATGTGTTACGCTTTTATCTTTTATATTACAATACATGCATTTGCGTACGTGGCTCCTTCTTTTGAGCTATGGGGACACTCGTGTCCAGATGTTCTGAAGGGAGCTTCCAATTATTACAATTCTTGCACGCATTTGCGTAATACGGAAGAGAATATACAGATGATTTGCAATCATTTTTAAACACATTCTTCCTTTTTCTTGAAAAGCACGTTCTTAATATGAATTTGTAATTCATATTAAGAACGTACATCGTAACGGCCGCAGTAAGCCCGTTACGATGAAATACCTCGAGGTTTTGATAAATTGTATCGGTACCTATTGTTACCTTTTAACACTGTGATATACGTTTGACGCAGCAGGTGTTAACATATCTACCTTCCAAGGAAAGCAGAAGTTGGTTTCAAAGAAATTTGAGTTTCAGTTTGCAAAATTAACTGCGTCACTAGTGTTACGTAAGATCACATGGCATCGAGTAATTTGAAAACGATGCAGTTTAGAATGGCTTAGAAAAATCAAATGCGATTTTTATATTGAAAAGGGGAAATACCCAAATTTAAGGAAGTTTTGCAAATAAAAATAACTGCTTTGATTTACACATTTTCATCTTATATGTATGTATGTATATATGTGTATGTGCATCTATCTGTCTATCTATCTCTTTCTATATATGTGTGTGTGTGTGTGTGTGTGTGATTATTTTAAAAATGCGTAGATGAAAAAAGTGGAACTTTTAACAGCTTAGATACTGCGTAGATGACCGAGAAGACCGTAGTGGCTTGAAGGTGGCAGAGTGGAAAACATGATGAGCACCACGTATCTTAAAAATCACAATCTTTATTTATTTATTTATTTATTTATTTTTATTTTGCAGATAAGATGTTTCCTAATTATATTTGAATACAAGTTTCATTTTGAAATGCGACGTCATTTTAAGCAAGTAAGCAGCAGCATACATAAAAAGCGTTTTGCCGGCAGGAGAGCTTATGCGGAAAAGGGAAAAGTATCATATAACTTCAGAGGAAGAAGGGTGGGAGTCAGAAAAGTTTCACTTCTGAGTTTTGGTTTACAATTAATTTGATTGGACAAAAGACATCTGCATTAAAACGTTACGTAAGATAGAAAAACCTGGAACCTGTGAGAAGAGATGAATTTAGGGGCAGATCATCAAATTTAGAATGTTAATTTTGAGGTCGCCAATTATTTTTTTGAAACAGCTATTATATTTTGTTAGATCTTATATATTATATATATATAATATTTATATTATGTTATCTTATATATATGTTATTTATATTATATTATATATATATTTTAACAAACATGTAAAAACGTAAAAAATATTGTGCAAACATATAAAAGATACTGGATTCTTTCCTTTTATTAATAAAGGGCCAACTCTTTTCAAAAGTCTCAGTTATAGCCCGAATTGAGTGAAGATTTTAATCCTCTTCTAATTTTCCGTACTTTAGCCAGTATTTAGTAATAAAGTTTTGATATACCAGTTGGAATCAAGATTATTAAAACCATCATTTTTTCTTTCTTTAAATTTAGCTTTTAATAAACATTTTAAAGAAATTTTTGGCAAATTTCTGAGACATTTCTAGGAAATTTCTGAAAATTAAAAAAAAATTTTAAGGATTTCTTTCAAATTTAAATTTTACTTTAAAAAATTCGGGGGATTTTAAGACATTTTAATATTTTTTAAAATTTTAATTTTAATTTTAAATTTTACTTTAGATTTTTTTAATTTTAAAATTTTTCAGTTTTACTTAATTACTTTATAATTATTACTTCTTAGTTTGCAATTTTCACACACAAAATAATTTTTTCACTTAACGTTTTTATTTGCATTAATTACACAATTTTGTAACAGAACACACATTTAGCATTACAAACAAGTTTACATTTATTAATTCACAATAACCACTTGATTGGCTCAGCTACTAAACTCCCTACCATAAATAGTTGGTCAGTTAAAATTAAAACTTGAATTACATACTTTTAGGATATTCTTTGATTTTTTCTAGATTTATATTATTTAAATTTTAATATTAAAGATAGCAGCTTGGCACTCAACTGTACTTACATTAGCGCATCTGTATAATTTCCAGAACACACTTACATCACTTAGTAAATAATTTTGCATACCCCAACGCTTATATGGTAGGTAAGTTAGTATTAAAACTTACTATTTACTTGCTTTTAAGTATTTTTTATGTAGTATTTAAGTATTTTCTGGATATGTCATTATTTTTAAGTATATATTTGTTTTTTTTTATAAATTATGAATTAGTTCTTTTTAGTTACTTATTGGTTTATATTAATTTGTCTAGTTCCTTTAGTTTTTTGTTTAATATGCATATTCGTGTCGGGGAGGTTTCTGTAAACAAGGTTTTCTAAATGCATTGGTTGGTTCTAAATTAATTCTTCTGGAAAATTTAATTTTTAAAAAAAGTTTAATTTAATACTAAACTTTAATTGCTTATTCTCAAATACTTCATTATTGGTATTTTCCTTTAGACCTTAATTTAATTGCTAATTACTCAAGGTACCACTTAGTTGGTATTTCTTTTTGGACATTCTTCACTACTTTTGGTTTTGACTTTACCCTTGCTTGCATGAATGACGAAACACGAATTGAATAATTGAAGAGTTAGGTTAGGAGGCAACTTCCGCTTGATAAGTCTGTCTCCTGCATGCTCAACAGTCATTCACTTATGCATTTAAAAAAAAAATTTTTAGATTAATTTTAATTTGCTAAATTGGTGAATTTATTTTCATGCTTTGGTTTTGCACTTGATTTACTTATGCTATCTGAATTTAAATGATATTGTAAATTAATTCGCAAATTAATTCTTTTATATGTTTGCAAATTATTTTAACTTTAAATTTGTTTTTTTTTTATGTTTTTACATGTTTGTTAAAATTTAAATTTCATTCGTTGCAGCAATGACGCAAAGAATTAATTAAATTTGTATTTATTCAATTTATTCTTTTGAAACAATATATATATTGTTGCGTGAGTACGGGTTCGTAATAGATTGAACCACACAGGTCCGATGATAGCTTAATAAAATTTATTTTTATCAAATAAAAACACTTCAAAGTTCTGGAACTTTCCACAGAAACACTCGTACGGGTATTCACAGAATTACAGAGTACAATTCGTAGTTACACTTCAAACAACTAATAACGTTAATCACACCGGGCAAGTAAAGCACACTAACAGAGAGCTAATCCGGAGATATCTCCCAACTTACGTTGAACTAACAGCTGGTGACAGTGACAACTAACTGAGAGCAGATGATCTCTCCGGCCTTATATAGTTTTCAACCGGCCGCCAAGATATTTCTAGTATTTTCTCCTACTCGAAATTACCGAAAAGCAATATGATTGTCGAATTACGGTTGAGCTAATAAAGTTTTGAATTACGTTTATTCAATTACAGTACATGTTATGGTAATACAGGGACAGGATCAAAATGTCGTCCAATGGTCGTTATGTTTGGCAAATTTTAAATTAATTGGTTCGCCAAATTTGGCGACAAAATAAGCCTCCAAAACGGTTGTCAGCCTAGCGATATCTCGCCAAATTACTGAGATACTCATTTACTCAATGTTAAGTGATTCCCCTTTATTCTTACTTTTTGGGCATAGCTCGTCTCTTCAGATTTTTTATGTTACATTACGCAGCAAAATACAATTTCACAAATGATTGCACTAAAAATCATTTATCTTTGTGCAAATTCGTAACATATATGAAGTCTAATAAAAACAATTAAGATTAGTGAAGTGAAGTTATATATATATAGATGTATATTGACAGGCTGTATTGCATGGTACTCAGATATGGAAAATCTGCGTTTCAAATTTCAGTACGCTTCTGCAAAGGGCGGCAACAGTACGGAGATCGAGCTGTTCGCAGACGTGCTGTGAAATATTGTATTTATTTTTGCTGAAGTATTTATACGCACAACATCGAACATGGTATCCTAGGGAAAAACACAGCATTCCAAACGCGAAAATAATTAGCGACAGAAAATATGAATCTGTCAACTACTAGCCTAGACAAAATTCCTACCCACAAACTTAACGCTATTAAGGAACGACGGTACCTACCGTTCGCTAAAGCCCCATCAGGAGATAAAATTAGCGCACATTCTCCAAGAGCATCTTCCAATGAGGTTGCGAATGGGTACATCATATCTGCTTTGGAAGCGGGTGGTTATGATACTTGATAACGAAAGCTGAATGTTACATAAAGAAAATAGTTGCTATGGCTAGTTTAATACTCATTTGTTCTTGGCGACAAACATTCTTGAGATTAAATCTATGACTTAATTGACTGAATGTTAGTTTCAATTTTTGTTACATTGGAACATTTTTACGTGCTTATAATATTTAATTTTTATTCAAGAAAGATAACATGTTAACAATGTTAAACGATTACATGTTAGAACAACAGCAAACGAGTGAAGCATGCGCGGACCATAATTTCAAGTTTAGGTTAATGGGACTCATACACCTTAAAACCCATAAGATGTTCGAATAGGTGACTGTTGCAAGAATTGGGATAACTTATTTATTTTACAAGCAATTACTACCAACTTTTTACAGCTGACTACATAATATAGCTGCTTTCTGAAATAGTAATCAGAAAGTTTGTGTTGCCACAAATATTTGTATAATTTAATCCGCTTTGTGACAAC